ACCGGAAACTCAACACTGACATGAAGGAGACATGGCACTGCCACGTTCGCAGAACAGGAGCCAGGCATCAAGGCCCCGGCCATGTAGAGAGCTGCAGGGCTGTCAGGCTCATCCGCGTCCTTGCGGTCCAGCGCGACACCTGACTTGCAGACAGGGTGGATCAAGCCCCCCTTGGTGTCAAGGAGTGGGTCAGGCCATCTATAGATTTGAATATTGAGAATTAATCGGCATGCCGGAAATCAGGAGTGAGGCTTCAAGCATTGCCGTCAAGCGGCCAATGATGAAGACCACTACGCAAACGACGATGGCCAGCACACCGATCTTGGCTCCAAGTTGCTCGAGGTTCCTGGCTTCGAGCCATGTGCAGCTTCATGGCAATGCTCCAAACCACGGGTGGCCACGTGACCACGGGTCAAAAATGGGTACCCGAAATGGAACCCTGGTCAATTGGAACCAATTTGGACCCGCGCCCATGTCAAATGTCATGCCAGGCCTTCTAAATGAGGTCAGCGAAAGGCCATGAACAAGTGTTTGGTTTACTGGGCGCAGCTCCGGCCAGCTCATAGCGGTGGCAACGCGTGCTCTTCCTCTCGTCCAAAAACAACAAAACAACAAAAGCCGCCAGCGGGTCCTTTGAAGCGGCGTCTGATTTGCGGAGGTGTCGGGCAGGCAGAAGCATTTCTTCTTGGGGCCCTCCTGCAAAGGCCAGCTGATCTCAAGAAGGGTTTACACCCAGAAAAAAGGCCATGGGTCAAAAGCCCGTACCCCCAGTGAACATCCCAATCCCCACTAAAATGGGTTCTAACATGGCTGGTGCACCTACCCCGAATGGTACCATTGGTTTTGACCCACAGCCAAATCACCCAGTCGAAGCCATGGCGCACCTCACCGGCAATGAGCTGGGCGATGCGGCCGATACGAGTGCCCATGCCGGTAGCGGTGACAATGCCACGGCCCTGCGCGTGGAAAGAGTGAGGAGGCCATGTGCTGAGCTTGCTGGGCACGTGGTTCACACACTGTTAGGATGCGGATGCCCTTTTTGGGCGATGTTCAAGGGAACCACCAGAGAAGCCGGTGGTTCCATCATTTGCGTGACCAAGTTTGACACGATGTTGACAACCAGATTGCCTTGGCAAAGGAACGGCTTTGCCTGGCCTTGCCGTTGGTCACGTTGCAACCAGAGAAGACGCACACCTCTGGCGTCAACTTCTCGGGCTCGCCCTGACCATTGATGGCTTCGAATGCCACTGGCTTCGAATGGACGGGTCTTCTTTCCCATTGCGAGCAAGACAAGGCATGCACTGCGCAACTGGCGAACCTCCTTCTTAGGTTTCAGCTTCCAGGTCTTGGACACCTGAGTTTGCATCGCTTGCATCTCGCACGCGCCCAGAACGAATCGCTGAGCTCAGCACGTCGTCAGGTTCACCTGCCGCTTCAAACCAGTGAGTGCAACATCGAAAGCTCCTGCTCTGTGGCTTTTTTGGGAGGGCGCCTGACTGGCAGTGGTAGCCTCTGCCCGTCCTTTTGACCAAACCACCACCAGTCTGTGACCAACATTTGGGGTAGGTGCAACACCCATTTTAGTCTATTTTAGTGGGGATTGGGATGTCCACTGCAAATACGGGATTTTGACCCATGGCCTGGCCAAACACGACATGGCGCCTTGGGCACAAGCTGAAACCCGCGCCTGTCAGCGCCATCTCGCTCACCTTGAGGTCCTCAGCCTCCGCCAGGCGCATGTCCTGCAGGTGCATCCCGGAAACCGCTGAAACGGGGCCTGAAAACGCCTAAATGGCAATAGGTATGTGGTTGTGGGTCAGAAATATGTAGCCAAAATGGAGCCCTGGTAAATGGAAACATGAACTACTAAAATATGCGGTCCCCTGGTGGCTTAATTTTGACCCATACCCATGTGACGCTGTCAGGCTGAAGGCAAACACCTGGACGCTGAATCCGAAGCAACTTCTACAGGGCCATTTCAGCTTGATTCGACCCTGGTAAATGCCACCCCCTGATCCGCGGCCCCGCTGATCCCACGGTCCGCTGGCACCACGTCGCCAGTGCCGAGCACCACCACATCGCCCCGCACCACTTGATTCGTGGGGATCTGAACCTCTTTCCTGAGCCCAAGAGTTCTTCCGGCAAACCATCTGCAAATCGTCATCAATCATGTGGATTCAGTGCAAAATGCTAGAGCCTTGCAGGTACTTGAAAAAGAGACGCAAACCAAAAGTAGGCATGTCAACATTGCAAAGGTTGAGACTTGGTCACAATTGTTGCCTTGAAAGCAAAATCTCTCTAAACAAGTCAAGCGGCCCATCTCGGACAACCTGAGCTTTCACAGGTAAGGCAACTCAAAATCTCTGACACAGGCAAAAGATGCCAAAATGAGCAAGCCCTTTGCTGTGCTGCGAAAAACGACCGCAACGTGCCATGTGTGTCTGTGTCTGTCAAGCTCAGGAATCGCTTTTACCGAAACAAACGAGTCCCTTGCGGTATCTTGTCGCAGGGCCTCTCCAACAGAGGGGCCCCTAGGTTTGATTCATCTCCAGGGGTGCGTCTTATTTTCCCTTGTTGGGTTGGCTTAGGAGAAAAAACACCAGGAAAACCCTGCCATTTGAGGGTTCCCATGTGGGTTTCTCTTTTCTTAGGATTTGAACCCCCCAGAATGGCAAGGGTTGTCCTTTTTGGTTTCCTTTAACAGCACAACAAGGGGTACCCCCCCTACAAAGACACACCCCATTTGAGACAAACCCATTTCATTTGGGTGTCGCCAGGTGACATAGATGGCTGCCTGCGTCATCTTCGAAAGAGCCTCCAAGGCATCACCCGCCTTGTGCTCTGTCCAGGCAGCGATGCCTGCATTGAGGATCACCTCAATGTGCAGGTAAGGGCGTTGTCCTTTCTTAGGATTTGGACCCCAAACCAATGCTGTTCCTTTTGGCTTTGCTTTAAAACCACCAAAAAGGGGGTTCTCCTAAACAATAGACACCCCGTTTCGGTGACAGTCGTTGCTTAATCGGAAGAGGCACTGATTGATGATGTTTTTGATAGCGCGTGCAATCCACAACAGCTCAAATGGGTCAATCTTCCAAATTCTTACATCTCGTTTCGGAAAGGAGGCAAGCCACCAAAACCAAATGATCCCGTCTGGACGACAAAGTTCTTCTCAAGAGATGTTTGGAACCCAAGGATAGTTTGGGCAAGCCGCGATGACGAAGATTGCAATGCCGGTCGTGTAGGACAAAGGATCGTCTGCTTTGCTGCCAGTTGCATTCCTGAGCGCACTGGCCATTCAGATTGCGCATCTGGGCATGCGGTTGGCTCATTATAATAAGGCAGGCGCTTTCATGTTTTTCGCTGGAATTGGCATCTAGCATGTGTACGTCGCTGTATGCCACCGGGCAACACTGCCATAGATGCCACTGCAGCAATGATCAAAAGGATGATGATGAATCCAAGCAACCTCAGACGGGTTGAACCAGCGCATCTGAGCCCATCAATCAATGAAAGCACCATGCAAGCATGTTCATCTACTCACCCAAACTTGCAATGCATCACAAAAACAAGCACCTGTGTAGCAGACGGACCCTAATATGATGACCTCCGTGCCAGGCTACTGCATGAGGAACAGCATCAGTAAGGTTGGCTTGGGAGGCTGGTAGAGCTCGTTCAGACCGTCTTCCTAGCCACCCAGCTGCTGAAGGTTCCGCCGAATTGGGTGAAGAAGCGTGTTGCATGTTCAGGCAACTTCAGCCTGATGGTAGGACTGTTAACTGCCATTGTGACTTCAGCCCCGGCTTTTGGGTAACTTTCAATCTGCGAAACAGTGCAGGTGAAGCACGTCATGGAGATCGTGCTGGCGACACCATACTCATGCGGGTCATTCGTGATAAAAGCGTTCGATTTCTTCTCAATGGATCAACCATCTCGATCAATCTATGGACCAAATCCATTTTCCGGTGACAGCTCCTGCCTTCAATTTCTGATCCGCGGAATCGGTGCTAAGACCTTGGCGCAGCATTCGATGAATTTGCAAAGCGGTCTCTGTGTTGCAGGTCTCGAAGCAAAGACTGCGCAAAATGCAAAAACTTGCGGATGTCATCCGCATGCTGACCATCTGTACGATTTGATCCGCTTGGCTGTGTCGTTACACTTTGAAACAGCGGAAGTCTGCCGGAACAAGAGACAGCCAAATTTGCCAAAGTCTGACAAACATCTGCAAACACATACGCGAAGGCGGACTTCTAACTGCGTTGCCAGAGTGCCACCTGCGAGATCTGTAGTGTACCGATTGATCACCTGCCATTCCATCAGCAAAATGTGTAGCTGCATAAATGCGCAAACGCCATGCCAAGATTGCCGCCTGTTCATGTGAATAGCAAATCTAGCACAACGTGCGGAAGGATCAAGTCGATTGCCTACTCCTGACCCCTTTCAGACATGAGCTGCCTGCTCGATTGGCTCTTCGGCATCGCGCGCGGCAATCTCGTCGGCAGCGGCTGACATTCGCTCTCAGTCGAATCAGCCTCAAGCAAGGTGGCTTGGTACAAGGCTTGGTACAAGGATCCAAAGAACTGCAAAAAAAAAACAAGAGTCTTCTTGAATAGAGGTTTCCTGCAGAGACTAGGATGTTGCAGATATTCAAAAGCTGACGTATCATACATACCGATCAACTTGATTCAATTCGACGTGCTTGCATGCTCCATTGCGACACAGAAGGCGTGTCCTCTTGGCATACCTCTGGCTGAGGTCTGCACCTGCAATGGCCCTGGGAAGACTGGGTCTCAAGCTGAAAATAGCACTGCGGGAGCGAAGACCAAGCATGCCCTGGATCTCACGGCTCTGCATTTGCGGCAAACGAAGTGTAAGACCTGGCATGTTCAACTAGTATGCGCGAAGGTCGGCATCTCAAGGATTCTTCTGAACGCTTCAACGCATGACTGAAAGCTGGATTCTGATTTAAGTTGAACGTCCCGGTCCCCATCAAGCCCTCGGGCTGCCATGGCCGGCCCGGTCCCGGGCAGCGGAAAGGCTTGCAGTGCCTTCTGGGGCCTTGGCAGAGCTGTGGAACCCAAGTCTTGCCGCCTCGACAGCCGACCCAAGGCGGCGCCTCGGGGAGCTGTGGTGTGGCACAGGAGCCAGCGGGTGCGGAACGCTCGGCTCAGGCCTGGAGCTGGCTTGAAGGCGCTGGTTGTCTCATCCCTTGATCAACGGCTTCCTGATTGTCCGATTTTGCGACCATGTCGTTTCACCACGGTACATATAAACAAAGACGTAGTGGCAACAGCAGGGCTGACTTGTTTGTTTCATGAGTCGCCACAACTGACAGGAGACTTGCGATTCCTGACTTGGACAGTGCGCTGTGACTAACGTCAAACACCCTCCAGCATGCCGGGCTCGTCAAAATCGTCGACAAGCTTTGGCATAAAATATCCACGTGACATGCAGAATTACGCTGCAGACTACAAACCAGAGACAACTGGGACCTTTTACAACGTGAGGAAAGCGTTGAATGAGATGTCCATCTGTCAGTCGTCATGCCCTCACGTCGTTCCCTGCCTGACGGGCGCTTTCAAGGCACGGCGCCATGCGCCGTCCTGAAGCTGGCAACTCGTCCATGTCTTAGTGAGGACCCTTTTCGGTTCTGGAACTTGCAAATATGGCCATGGGTCAAAAGCCTGTACCCCCAGTGAACATCCCAATCCCCACCAAAATAGACTAAAAGGGGTGGTGCACCTACCCCAAAAATGGTACCATTGGTATTGACCCACAGCCATATTACGCACACTTCTCGGGGGTGCAAATCACAAGCTCGGCGAGCACAACATGAGGTCCTTGGCACAGTTGGGCAGCGGCGCTTGCTTCGGCGCATCCGACTGCTGCCGCTTGGGCCTCATGAAAGCAAGCCCTTGAAGTGCAGTGAAGCTCTGCCTGAATGCCAAAGCTTTCAACTGGGCCAAAAAAAAACTTAAAAGTAAAAAACATATCAGACCGCTGTAGAGAACCGTGTGTGAGTGCCCCACGCTGTGGTATCCCAAAACAGGTCTGCCAAAGAACGAAAGATCTCCACGGTCCTGACAAGTCTCTGGAGAGTCGTTGCCTTCCATGACGACATGCAAACCGGCGCCCCAAAGCTTGGCCTCTTGCCGTTCTAACGCAGCAAGAATGACAGGTGGATGCCGGCACGGGGACACATTCTGGTGCTTGCGCCGGCTGTCCTGGGAGCTGCATTTCGCAGCACGGAGCGCGGGCACTCCACCAGTCCTGATAGAAATGGATGCATGAAGTTGGGGTCATGGAGTGCGTGCTCTCAAAACAAACAAATGCAGGGCTCTGCCGGGGCTTCGCCTTGGGGGCCGAAAATTGGGCTACAAGCCCTGAAGATGGCCAGTCCGCTGCCCCCAGACTGACCAAGTAAACTCCGGCTCGGCAGCATCCGTCGCAGCCCTCCTGCACCTGGAGGTAGTCTATGGTCCACCTCCTCAGGCGCGAAACCCGAAGAACGAGAAGGCCGGAAGGCCCTTGTCCTTCGCGTCCGCCGGCAGATCGCTCAGCTCCAGCGGCAAAGGGCAAAGTACCTGAAGCAGGCGTCAGGGCTCCGCTCTTTTCAACCAGCAGAAACGATCCAAGACGCCTCTCCAGCGCCAGACTGGAGGTATGAGCCTTGTCTGGTTCCCTTAATTGATTGTCAAATCACAAAGCTTGCCAAGCTCTGGATTAGTGATCTGCTTCCATGCTCCCAACATGTATCCCCCTTTCGATGAGGAGAGGAAATCCCTCAACAATCTTCCTGCACGCTTGACCTCAAGCCTTTGCTTACATGACACTCTTCCCCCACCATGCGGTCAAAACATCCTTAAAGCCTTTGGACACCAAAAACAAAAACAAAAACAAGACTGCAAAGCCTTTCTCGGGAACCCAACAAAACAACCTACACAAGGAGAAAAACAAAGAGCAAGACTCAGAAAACCCGACTCCCATTGCCCTTTTGATCCAAGTGCCGACGTCTCTCCCCAATCGCGCCTCGGACTCCCTCAGGGCGCCAGGACCCAGCAGCTCCTCTGAGGCCTGACTCGATCGAGGCAGAACGCGCGAGTTGACTCCCGCGGGCCGAGTCGCAGGCGTGGGAAGTGGGTATGGGTCAAAACCAATGGGATCCCATTTTGGGGTAGCACCACCCATTTTGGAACCCATCTTGGTGGGGATTGGGATGCTCACTGGGGGGACAGGACTTTGACCCATGCCCAAGTTTCGTTCAAGGGTTGGGAGGTGTGTACGAGACCCGGGAAAAATTACTGCCATGACTCATGACTGGGTGTTTCGCAAAACAAAAACAAACAAAAAACAAGACAGGTACAAGGCCGGAAGGTCTCAAGGCTGCAAAGCCACAAGCGTGCTTGCTTGAGGCGGTGCCAGTTGCGAATCTTTCGGTTGCTCTAAGATTTTGCTGCTGAGAGTGCGGGTGTTTGTCGTAGTGACAGTGATTGAATAACGAACGCGCAGCGGCAGTCGGATCAAAGAATGCAAGTCCCACAAGCCCTGGGAACTAGGATAAGGTGACAATTCAGCCAACATCCCTCGCGATTTGACGTGCTGAAATCTGCACAAAATGAACAGTCTACTGGATTCCTCACTCCGGCCTCTGCCATCGTGTGGTAGGCCCCGCATTGCACGCTCTTACAACGCCTGGCACGGCGATGCTTTGCTTTCCATGTCAAGAGCTGTTCATGGCCTTGTGCGGAAGGGCCCTCGTCTGCATCGTCGCGGCCAAGCCTGGCGTAGGAGTGAACGTGGAATGACTCTCAGTACACGTGATATCATGTGCGTATGTGGCTTCACAGCCTGCTGCCAGGGCTGCCACTGGCCAGTGAGTGCAAAACCTACCAAGACCGAGACAACTTAGACAACCATTGGATTCACTGAGAGTCGAAGTTCAACCAAAACACGTTTCAATGACAAATGACCAATCCCTCAAACATGATGTCAACCTTCCAAAAAACTCCGGGAACTTCCGGGATCGCTGCCTCCTTCACCGGCACGGCCACCTGCCCCGAGCTAACCCGACAGGTTTCAATCCACTGAACGCTGCGATTGAGGAAGGAACAGCATGTCTTGTCGTTCACTTGTATACTTTTGCTTGGCTTACTCGCAGTACCCTCGGAATCCAAAGCATAAGATAAAAATTGCTCGATTTGAGCGCCAAGGACTTAACGTGCAAGCAACCGACTGCATTTCAGACTTCAGACTCGTCTTGGCATTCGATTTGTGCGCAACACTCCTGGCCTTGCCCGGGCTTGGTGGCACTCCAACCGCGACCCAGCCGCATGGACGACCTGTAAGCGAACTTCACCCAGTGCTGTTTTCCCCCATCCCACAGCTCCATGTTACATCTGCCTGAGGTCATCGAAGCCAAAGCCCAACTGGCCATATGCGCCATAGCCCCACAAGTAGAGCAGGCCACCTAGTCGACAGTAGATCACGCTTATCCGAAGTGCAAGGCTGCCAGACAATCCAAATATCCAAACCTGGCTCAAGCGCCCCCAGCGCTGCCTCAAATGGAAATTGCTCCAGCCAACTTCTTCCGAGCAGCTGTCGGTCACGCAAGCTGTGTGGGAGAAGCCAGCTGCAACCTGGTACTCGTAAGAGTGCATGCGCCTATACATCCCTGCTTTTGTGGAATCCACATTGACATGTGTGTGTGTGTGGGTGTGTGTGTGTGAGCATGTGTCTGTCTGTCTGTCTGTCTGTCTGTCTGTCTCTCTCTCTCTCTCTCTCTCTCTCTCTGTCTCTGTCTCTGTCTCTGTCTCTGTCTCTGTCTCTGTCTCTGTCTCTGTCTCTGCCTGCCTGTCTGCCTGCCTGTCCGTCCGTCCATCTGTCCGCCTGTCTGCCCGTCTGCGCATCGTGCGTCTGTCCGTCCGTCCGTCCGTCCGTCCGTCCGTCCGTCCGTCTGCCTGCCTGCGTGTCTGTCTGTCTGTCTCTGTCTGTCTCTAACTAGTATCCTTACTTTCGTGACATGCAAGTAGCAACAAAACACAACCAATTGTGTTACGCAAGCGCATTGCCGTCGAACATGGGCTGTTTTCACGGTCAGGAAGTGCCAGAAATGGTTGATGTACAGCTGCGCCTGTGGATGCCTTTCTTCCCCCGCTCGCCTGTACTACCTTCACCTGGTACAGGGAATCCAGGGGCTTGGGCGTGGCAGTGCCACGAACTGCAGCACCCAAGCCCAGCTCGCCTTGCGCAAAGCCCGCATGCACAAATGACTTCTCCTTGACCACTGCAATCATGATAAAGCAACTAACTGTTGCCCTATGTCTACCCTCCACAGCTCGCGAATTGAGTGTCCAGCACTTTTCGTTGCACCCCCAGCTGTACACCTCTGCAAGTTTCTTCGAATGCGGCAAGCCGCCATTCGAGTTTAGTTCAACGACCACAGCGCAACACCAAGCTGGCGATGCAGTCTCCACACTTTGGCCATATGGGTGCGGGTCAAAAATAGGTACCCACAATGGAACCATGGTAAGTGGAGATATGGACTAAAACCTGCGGTCCCCTGGTGGGTTAATTTTGACCCACACCCATATACGTACGGCTGGCGACACTTGCTTGTGTAGTAGCTGGGTGTCCAGCCCAGCCGTGGGCAGTGACAGCGAACGAGCCTGGCACCGACCGGTTCTGGATTCTTGTCATCGCAGGAAATCGAAGTGCGTCTTAAATGTAGGGACGCCTTCAAAAAGTGGCTTCTCTTCCTGTTTCTGCTTGACATTTGCACCAGTTGCAAGTTGACTGTTTGCCGAAAAGGTGAAGTCATCCCCGTCGCAAATCCTAAAGTGGGAAAGCAGACCGTGTTAATCAACACAAGCAGCTGTTGTGTCCTTCTTGAAACTCGCCAAAGCTGCTAGCAAAGCCCGCAGCGATTCCGCGTATGCCTTCAAAGGCACAGTTGGAATTTGCGAAGCTGAATGCATGGCTGGGAATGATCAGCATTGCCTGAGGTCAGTTGGGGATGGTCCCAACCCAAATATCATGCGGGGCAGCCTTTGCAATCCCTTCTCTTGTTTGTGCTATTTCCCCATGATGTTTCCAACAGACCTCACCTGGAGCCTCTGCCTTGCAAACGGAATGGGAGCTGATCCTGCCAACTCTCACTGAGGGCGGAGCTACCTTCGCACTGCTTTGGGAAGGTGACCTCATGACAAAAATGAAGACAAGGCTTGCGGGGCGCGACCCTTCCTGATGCAACACTTCTACCAAGATGGCTTGAGAATGCTCTGCCATAGGATTTCGTGCTGAGGCTCCGGCCTTGCTGGGTGAAGGGCCTGAGCCAATCATGGTCCAGTCTTCACCCAGTAGCAAAACCAGACCCGGGATTCACCTGAAGTCGGTTGCTTCAGGGCCCAGCATCTGCGGCAAGCACCCAGGCCCAGCTGACCCATGCTTCCGGCGCCAAAGCTATAGACGTGCCGCTCCTGAAAACGGCACGAGGCTCGCGGCACAGAAAGCACGCGCAAGACGCCAAAGCCGGCCTCGGTCAGGATGAGGGTGTGATGTAAGCCACACGCCACCTGCTTCATGCAGTCATACCGCGGATCCAGTATATGAGGGGTGTAGTGCGGAGAATGGAGGGCGATCAAGCACAAACAAATTGGTAGGCTCTGCCTGCTCAACAAGGAAGCTTGTCTTTTGGGCAACGGCGATTCCCCGCCGATACAGGATCTGCTTCGCTTGGCTAAGCGGCAACACCATCTGAGGCCGTCCCGCCTTGGCCACCCTTGGCAGGCCAAGCACGGCCCGCGCGGTTGGCCGCTCCAGCCGCCCCCGTGCTTGGCCCTGGCGAAAAAGAACGCGACTGCCAACGCAAGTGGCCGGGATCTGGCAAAGGCCTGATTTTTCAGCCCCGCCCCCAAAAAAGAAGAAAAACGACGCATTGCTTGCGGGGCACGCGCACATGTCGAGTGCAGAGGCAACGCCTTGTTTATTTGGCCGCAGGGTCAAGTGCTCAAATGAAGTGCCGCTTGCTTTCTGGCACCCTCCAGCTTTGCCTGAAAAAAAGCGTGTGTTGAATGCCCTTTTTAGGGGTGAATGCCTGTTGGACAACTGTCTGTACTTGGCAACATTGTGTTTTGAGGTAACACCTTGTTCATCGGTGAGGCTTACTCACCCCATGCTGACAGGGTAAATATTGACATAACGTGCAACGTTGCAACCTTATCCAACCCGCCGGGACTTTGCATCAGTCTGCTATGACCGGCACGAGGTTCTCCGTGGCAATGTGCGCCTGTCAGACACCCTTGGCCTGAATCAAGTCCCATGGCCAAAGGCTCTCAGCTTGGGAAACAAGGACCATCTGCTAATTGTCAGCAAAGTCTTTCATTAAATGCACCCTTTCCATACAAATTGGTGTTTCCCAAACCGCCGCGTTCTCAATACTATTTTTTAGATTAGGCCAGTTCAAAACCAATACTACTCTGTCGGATGTCCCGCCCAGCCCCAGCCTGATTAGGAGGTAATTAGTCAAGCTCCTTGCACCAACCCCATGCCAAAGTCAAATGCATGTTGGCCTTGTATTGATTCAAATTCGTCATGGTTTGTAAGAATTGTAAGTCCAATTCTAAATTGCGCCATGCACGTCTGAACCGCAAAAGCAAAAAAACGACAACGGTTCTAACAACGGTTTTAATTATATCTCCGAAACAGCGATTTTGACGGTGTCCGTGAAAGGGGGAGCCTATTTGGGAGACCAAAGAGGAAATCTGGCCGACCCCTAAGTACCCTACTGAGAAATATCGTTTGTTCCCCCAGTCAGTATTTATTAATACGGGGGGGGTCGGTGCTTATTTTTGCAGGGAAGGAATTATTATTTTCCGAAGCCGGAAGCCAGCCTGAACGGAAGTGAACAGCTCGACCGTCCACTTGCGGATGGAGCTGTCAAATCCGACCAGCCTGGGATTCAACCTAAAATTGAGCTGCAATGGAGACTGGGTAGGGACTATTAATAGAGAGACTGGCCTCGCGAATCCATCCAACAAGACCCGCAAACACGCATCAAAGAACATCACCACAACCCCGCTCACATTCAGTAGTGACGTGCGCCGAAACGGGCATTGCCACAGTATCAGCCAGCCAATCGTGGCACTTTTCTCCTTGAGCGAAATGCCGGTCGGTGGTCAGACCAAACTGACTCATGATGGCTTTGGTGGCTGACCGCGCCTGGGCGGTTGACATTACGCAGAGGTCTGCCCCGAGGAACTCGAATCGCATCCATTCCGCTTTGCATGCATCCACCGCGTCTGCCAACTGCCGCAGGCCTCTGACTGGCTTTCCGTTGAAGGTTTGTAAGATCTGGTAGTAGCTGGTCCCAATATTGATTGGATGCTGAAGTACATCACCCAAAACAATAAACCGATTGCTGCCATCTTTCTTCTCTTCTTTGCACCAGTCGTAGTCGTAGTCCTTTGAGCGGCTCATCACTTCACGCGTCGAGCGGATGGCTGTCTTCTCGCCCTCGCGCATGTACATCACGCTCACCGGCTGGAAGATCAAGCCTGCCACAATAAAGTACTCTCTTGCCCCAGCGCAATAGGGATCCTCGGAGATAATGGGACGGTAAGGCCTCAGCCGGATTTTCAGATCTAGCTCCTGCTGACCCCGAAGAATGCGAAGCGAGCACATCTCGCTGGTAAGCTTGTCAGAAAAGAGGATCCACAGAGACACACGCGTGTCGTGGCTCGACAGCGGCACCTGCAAAGGGAAAAGTCAAGAGCTCGGCCCAAGCAACACCTGCAAGAATGGTTATGAACAAGTGACTGTGTATGCATCGCGAAGAGTTATTCAAGCCATGCAAGCAGCAGTGTCCATGCAATTCCCTGCCTTTCCATCGTGTCCCACCTCCTTCCCATCAATTGAAAGCAGAACGTCATCTCGCTGCAGCCGGTCAGCAACACTGCCGTGAATCTGCATCAGCCGCACACCAAACCCTTTCTTGTCCACCCCGAAGAAGCGCTTTGCGTCAGCGGTAAGAAGCTGTTGCCAGTTGAATGGTGGGAAACAGAATTGTGTGTAGCCTCCTCTCTGGTCAAAGTCGCGGGCGAAGCGCGCAATGATGCTGCTTGGAACCACATATCCTGAGATTGCATTCAAAAGTCCGCCTTCAAGCCAGCCGACCATCCAGCCGATCATGAAGCCGACCAGCCAGCCGGCCATCCAGCCAACACCCTTATCACTATTCACAATCCAGGCATCCCACGTTCTGTGCCTGGTTGGCCTCTAGCCCAGAAAAGGCGAGTCCAACGACACGGCCGCCTGTGCAGCGGGTAGCTGACAAGCATTCCCTGCACTCTCTGGCTACCTCTTGCTCCTTTGGAGGAATCGCTCTGTTTTGTCGGATGTCCTTGTAGAGTCCGTTATTTCGCTCCACTGTTCCTAATAGTTGCTGGTAACATCATAGGTCACCTGTGTACGGTTTGCAATTTTGCAGAAACAACTATTTGGAAGTAACTGGGCATCGCGCAGGGTGGGGGTGGGGGGAGCTGGGGGGGATGGTTGCGTTCATGACTGGTTGCGCAACATGCATGGTTGAAGGCCTCACACCCGCTAGCGTAGTTGGTTGGGGCCCGCTAGCTCTTGGACGTTGCTCTTGTATGTGCGCTGGCCCGCGCTATACCCTTCCTTATGGCCGGTGTTGGCTGTCCAAAGCAACGTCTTGTCCTTGGTCACCTTTTTTCCACAGCATGGTTCTGGAAACAAGCGATGTTGCTCCAATTCTGTGATGCGGGAAACGCCCCCTTGACATACCGTGTTATTGGGAAATATATAAAAACTGGTGTTGCTGGAGTGGGCATGTCCTTCAAATGTTTTTTCCCCCAACAGCTGAAAGCTTTGGGGATCCGGCCCAAATAGGCTCCGGGGTGGTCCGGGGCGGCCCTGAGGTAAGGTTCCACGAGGGTTCCACGAGGGTTCCACAAGGAGGTTCTGCGAGGGCTGTGGGGTGGTGCGAGCACTGAAAAGAGCACCGCGTGCTGTTGGGGATATCACCTGAGCTTCTTTTTTTTTTACAATCCCAAGATACGTCTTTTTGTGAATCATTCCCGAACCACTGGTCTGTAATTGTAAACGGTTGGTCCAATTGTGTTTTGGCTCACCCCAAGTGCCCCTAGCAACATGCGGAGCCATAGGGAAGAGGTAAAAGAGTGCATGAAAGGGCTCATTGGCATTCTTCAGTGCCTTGTTCCGACGAAAGATCCACTGCAAGAGTCTTGATTTGAATTTCGGAGATACAGCACTGTGTCCGTGAACACTGGCCTTTTCAATGGTGCCAACTTCTGTTTATACACTGCGTTCCCATCATGCGTGGCAGGTTTCGGGGCTTCCGGTTAGCCTCTACCGTATTGCTTTCGGTTGTGCTTCACCTGTGCAGGGCAGTTGCTCAGTTTCCAGAGGCCATGACGGCTTTTGCAAATCCTAGTGGAGAATGGAGCGACTGCGCTTGTGACCCATTTTTGTTTGGTGCTTAGGGATGTGAACTTACGATTGTGAGAAGCTGACCGTCTATCAGCTCAATCCAGCTGATGCCTCCAGCTCTGGATGTGACGCAAGTTGACGCTGCGCGCCTGCCAACGCAGGTCCGCCACTGCTGCCAGAATTGATCGCCGCATCGATTTGGATCACCGGCAGCTGCACATAGCAGCCTCCCGATCAAGCGTACAGCGCTATCTGGAGTCAACCCTGCATATTGTTGTGCCATCTGAGCCTCCCTTCCCCCCCCCCCCCCCCCCCCCCCCGGCCCACCTGTGTATGACATCACATCAAGGCGTGAGACCACCCCCTTGGTGGTGCAAAGGCTTTCGCCTCAGGGCATGATGGAGTTTGCTCTCTGGTTGGCAGCACATAGCGCACAATATGGTGATACACGCACGCAACACACACACACACAACCCACCCGACCACCCGCGCGTGCGGCGCGTGGAGGGGTATTGCATGTGCATTCTTTCTCACAACAACCAACTGTCAATAGCGATGGAAAGGAGTTGACGTCCATTATAATCCAGTCCAGGAAGCAGAAATTTATCGGAGCAATTGCTTCGCAATAGGCGTGTATTGCAACAGCAAGCCTACAAAGGTCGACGCGGGACAAGAAGTGGTTAGCATCCCCGAAGTGCGGCAACTTCCACCGAAGAAGCTTGGATCTCAGCCGGAACGCGGGGAAGTACATCTCTGTACTCGCACATTTTACTAAGCTATACAAACGGGTAGCGCATGTGTGTTTTTGTGATTGCTATTGATATTTCGAGTGAGCTTTTTGCGCCACCGCATCTAAGTAATTTGCATCTTTCCCCCTTCTAGTGGGCAACTCGCAGCTTAATTGAAATGACAAGATGCTGAGGGACAGCGCAAGCTGACATCACCTGCATGTGAACGAATCCATCCTTCTGAGGCTGGCCTCTGAAATTACGTGTGTCCGGAGAACTTAGTCCCCGCAAATGGTTTATCCGTTCCAGCAAAATCCGGTCAAAAGGCAAGGCGAACCCCACTTAAGCAAGCCCTGCCTCCACGACGCTGCGCGCCTGGAGCAAATCCAGCTCACCCGATCCCGGCATCGGTTTCAGCGCCGGTGACGCCGGTCCTGGCGCCTTTCCCACAAAGCGCCGACGCTTTGCCATGGCCGGTTCAGGTATGTTTTTGTTGTGCAGAACTTGCTTCTGTCGTCCCGCATCTCCGCTCATCTGCTCGAAGCTCTCTTGGGCCAGAGTGGCTGATCCTTGAATATTGGCCTACCTTTCAGGAGAAGGGGCTTCTCGGAGCCACAAGCTGTCTGTTGACCTTCCACGTGA